TGGCTGGGGGGGGTCGCATGCAAAAGGTCCCAGGTTCGAACCCCGGCGTCTCCAGTTGAAAGGAGCGCAGGCGGCAGGTGATAAGAGAAGACCCCCCAGCCGGAGACCTGGGAGAACCGCTGCCTGCCAGAGTCGGCGATACTGACCTTGAGGGACCAGGACAGTGTCCGATTCGGTGTAAGGAGGCTTCAAGGGTTCACCTGTCCTCTTTGCCTCCTCTTTCCGGGAGACAGGAGGGGTCGGGAGAGAGGCACGTCGGGAAAGAGGGAGAGGTGTCCACGCAATGCGGGTCCTTCATTGGATTGCAAGGGACGAGCGGAGGGGAGCTGGGGGGGGGGGTTCCGAGGGGAGCTGGATCCTGCCTCCAGGATCGCCTCACCCGGTTTGACTTGGGACCCTTTGGGTAAGAGAGGTCCCCTATTCCGGGAGTGGAGACCTCCCCATTCACAAACCAGGTGTTCCCGGCCGATCTGGGGGGCGCGCGCTCGCTCGCGGATCCAGCAGTCTTTTCCCTCCAGGTTACAACACCCTGGGGCGGAGGGCAGCAGGCGATCACCGGAGTCTTTTTCTCTTTTTAATCAGCGCGGTCTGTTGAGAGTCGGGTCGCTGAAGCCCTTTGGCGATGGGCGAGATTTAAGCCGATGATCCTTTCCACCACCACCCCCAACAAAATGGGCATTGGAAAAGTGGCGGATCGCTACCTATTTCGACGGCATCCCGGTGGGCAGGACGTCTTTCCGTCCCCCTTCCTAGAGGAATTCGGTCCGCAGCCGGAAAGCTGGCAAAACTCTTGGAAACCTGCCGAAATGCAACGTCTGAACTGATTTGCTCGGGACCGGGCGCTTCGTCTCCCTCCTGTGAGCGGGGGAAACCTGCTTGATGCGGGCTATTAATAGGTATGGGGTGATTCACACACCTCCTCCCCTTCCCGGGTTCGGGCTTTAGCCGATCTGCGCCTTGATCCGAAATACGTTAGAAGCAAGTAAACACAGGACCTAAGCGCCGCTAGCTTTCACCTAACCGCAGCCCCGACAGTGGTCTGCATTGACTAGTTCGATCTCGCACCTTTCTCAGGCCTCCTCGGATTTCCTGGTCCGTTGGACCCGGCACGTCTGCATGCGAACAACGGAGATCCCGAGAGCTACATGGGTCAGAGAGCCCGGGGAGGCTGCGGTTCCCTGTCGAGCGCCGGCCAACCCCGAGTCTCCGGCTCAGCTGTTGGGTGAAATGCCAACAGGGGGGCTGGCAGCCGGGCACATCCCTTTGTGTCTGGGAAGGACACGACGGCCGCCGGCCTTCGGGTCCTCAGGACCAAGAAACTCGGGCAACCGAGAGGTTCCCGGCCTTTTACGCGCGGCAGTGGCAGCTGGCTTCCGCACAGCAGGTTATGCGCCCCGGAGTTGGATGCTTTGGGGGAGCGGGTTTTCTCCAGCCGGTTTCCCAGGTTTTCTTGCACTGACCCCTGGTGGCACGGGAAGGGGGCGGGGGACAGGTGGTGGCGGGCCGGCTGTTCCCGGACTTCGAGGAATCCTGAATTGGCGAGGAAAAGGAGGGCGGCGGCGGAGCAGAGACGATTCTCCCGACTCCCTTGCGGTGCGCAAGGTTCCGGCGCGCTCGCCTCTCTGCCCGAAGTGGCGTGGATAAAAACAGCAGGGCAATGTTTTAATTATAAAAAGAAGGAAACGGGCAAGAATGCAAGTCTCTCTCTCTGGCAGGCGGCGACCCTTCAACCAGGCGGGGGTGTCCTTTGATTCTTTGTGTATCCCCCCCCCAGGCGCAAGGCGTTCGCCACCTATTCTTATGTCCTTACGAGTTACAGTGTTCCCTCTAAGCTGAGTTAGTGTGAGCTAACTCACAGTTTCTTAGCCTCTGCCTCACACATTTTTGTCTCAGCTCGGGAAGGATGGTTCCAGAACAAACTAATTTATGCAGTAGCCAAATCGTTCGCTCGCAACTTTAATGCCAGTAGCTCACAGAATTGTTGCTCGCAAGACTCCACAGCTTAGAGGGAGCATTAGATGAGATATGAAAGATAAGGAATAAGAAAGGATAGGTTCATTTCTAAATGAGAAAGAGCTGCTTATCTGGGATCTAAAATGTCTCAGTGTATACCTAACATTATGTAACATTATGGCAAAGCAGCCACACACTTTCCTGAAACAAATATGCATGCATGGGAACACATACAGTGGCACAGAGCTGTTCGCCTCAGTAGAAAAAGACTTTCATTCATGTGAAAAAAGCAGGGCACGGGCATTTATTTTTAAACCAATGGAGTGCACAGGCCAGGAGACCGAGGAGGGCTCCAGAGCAAACTCATTTATGCAGTAGCCAAATTGCTCGCTCACAAAGGAGAATTTTTGCTCACAAGACTCCACAATTTAGGAGTACTGCTGTCTGTCTGTCTACCATCTGTGTGTCTAGGTACATCTATCTATCCATCCATCCATCTATCTATCTATCAATCTCTGTCCTCTCTAAGTCGACTCTTTTGGGCGGGGATTGAGCGCGTTGGCTCGGTGGCCCGCAACCCCTTCCACTTACTCCCGAGAAGACGCAGCGAGGCTGACTTCCGAGTAGACCCGACTAACCGCGGGCGGTGCTACTTTCGCCCCCCCCCCCCAAAGCGCATTATTTTATTTCTCTCCCTCCCCCCCTGGAATATTTTAAACCCTCCCCCCCCATTCCCAAACCCCCCCCCCCATCCACGGACCACCTTTCCCTTGCCGGTCAATAACGCACCAAAACGTAACTTAAACACGAGGAATTTAGGAGATTAAACAATTTCATTAATATTGAAATGGCGCCGGGGCCGGAGCGCCGCCGCTTGGCATGCGAGGGCACGTTTTCCAATATTAACAGAACTACTTGAAGACGATAAGAATGTCACCTTCTTAATGCCACACGCACGCACGCGCACGCGCACACACCACACTAAAGCGTGCGGGCCCGGCGAGGGGGAGGGCGAGGGGGCGAAGAGGATGGATTCTGGACTCCTTCATCCGCATCCTGGAGAGAGACTTCCCGCCCGGCGCCTGGAGGAGGGGCCGTGTAAACACCACAACTCAGACCCCGCGCGGGGGTTAAATTGTGTGCGAGGTGATATAGGGCTGCCAGGCTCCCGGCGCGGGCTGGAGATCTCCCGGAATCGCAGCCGGTCTCCAGGCTACACAAACCGCGTCGGAAAGACATTTCCTCCACTGCTCCTTGAGAAAACGGCTGCTTGGGGTGGGGGGGCACGGCCTTATCCCCTGCCGAGGACCCTCCCCTCCCCAACGCCCCCCTCTCAGGCTCCACCCTCAGGTCTCCAGGCGTTTCGGAACTGGAGCTGGCAACCTGAGGGGAGAAGAGGATTGGGCAAAAACGGGGCCCCTCTACGCACGCGTGGGCCAGATCCCTGTTCCCCAGGAAGAATCCGGATGGGATCCTCTTTGCTGGAAACCGGAATTCCGAATGGCCCGTTCGGTGAACGGAAAGCAGGAGAGAATCTCTTCCATGTGAGGGGGGGGGGTGTTAGAC